GGATGTAAATGAAATCTCCAAATAACGAAGCCCCAACTGACATCTCTTGTCACCAAATAAAGCTTCCAGTACTGGGGACAGGTTACATCTAATTGAGTTATTGGGCAAAGAGGTCCAGTGGAAAGCCCCAAACAACCCAGGATGTTTTCAAGACCATAGGTTGCTCTCCACAAACTGAAGGCAAGTTCCCTATTGCTAAAGGCAATACCTACACAATGCATTGACCATGGAGAAGTTGAGCTGGTGCCTCCCTAGAGCCTTCATTCCTATAGGCTCGTGTTCTCAGTACCTGAAGGTACTCTGCATACTACCAGAGGAGAAATGTGAAGACCAACCCAGACACAAGCCCTTCAATCTACAATGGTGTCCTCCCTGCAAGATAAGCTGGTGCCATAGTGGTACAAAGCTTTATGTGCAGCCAACCAATATCTGAGTCGACTTAAGGTCCACTCCATGAAATGAAACACATATGCTGCTTGGTTTACCAAGAAAATGAGGCTAGATAGTGTGGGGATGTAACGTAAATCAAGTTTTGGGAAGGCTGTTTCCTCTGAAAACACAAGGATTGAGATTTATTATTTACTTTATTAACCTTCAGATTTTTTTATTCCTTTATATCTAGTCTCTTAAAGTAGAAGCTGTGGATATTGACTTAGGACATTATTTTTCTAATGTATGATGTTTCGTGGGAATTTTTTTCCCTAGAGTTGCTTAAAATACTCCAGAAATGATTATATGTGTTTCATTTTGGGGCAGAAGAATATGGCGCTTTATTTAGGATGAAGGTATTGTTAGGGCAGGGGGGAGTAAGGGAGAGATACAGAGAGACAGAGACAAATAGAGACAGAGAGAAAGAGAGAGAAGGAGAGAAGGAGAGAAGAGAGGGGGCAGAGAGACAAGGGAGCTGCCTTGTCAGAAGAACAGTAGGGAGAGAGAGAGAAGAGAGGAGGCCGAGTCGAGCTTGCCTCAACGGGATGTGTTTCATTTTAATTTCTATTCTACTTTCTCTTAAGTTCAAACAGAAAAGCCCTAAGCACCCCAAAAGGGCAAGCCCACAGACTCGGTCCAAGATGGCAGTGTGGCCTCAGCTCAGAGCTTACCAGTACTCTGAATGGTAAACCCAGCATTCCTTGGAAATCTTGTAAAGTGGGTTTCTGTTGTCCAGGGAAAGCCATTACTTTCCTATACACTCCTATACTGCCCACCCTCTGGAAAGGGTATCTAGTTCTCTATTAACTCAAACAAGCTTCCAACAAACCAATGGCTGATGCTAGCTCACAGGCTGTTGCAGCTGGCTTATTTTCCACTCTCTACATGACCCCTTAGAATTGGCAAAACGCTCCCCTGCCCCACATGTACGATCACTTTTGCTATTCTCTCTGATTCCAAGAGAGAGCCGTGAATTTCCCTAAATGAACCTGTCTTCTCACCCATGGAGAGGTCCAGTTCGATGGTTTCACTGAGCGTTCGCTTACATCTGGTGCTGAAACCTGAAAACAAGCAAAGTTTGTTTAAAATTGGGTCTACTTAATAGATTAGATGATGGCCCTCAACCCCTCAGAGAGCTGCTGAATATGGTATTTAAGGTGTTTAGAGAAAGACTTCCCATGATAGACATAAATACCAACTTCTGGCCGCAGCCATCTCCAAAGAAGCTGTCCTGTAGCTATCTCCCAAGAAGATGTGGCACCAACAGTGCTGCGAATAGTATAGTTTCTGCATTGTCGTTTCAGGTCTGAGCAGCCGGGAGCCAACAAGCGGCCTCATCTCCATGAGATGAAACCGTTCTGGGTGACAGCGAGATGGTTTGGCAGGCAAAAACGTTTACCACACAGGCCTGGTGACCTGTGTTCAGTCCCTAGAACACACTAAAAAGCTGGATGTGGTGATTTATGTCTGAAAGCCCAGGCCTCCATTGATTACCTGCCTTCTCAGAGGACCCTGAGCTAGGAAAACAATTTCCACAAGCAGCCCACTTTCCTGCTGGAGAGAAATGTACACAGCTTCCTGGGTGGGGGATGGGAAGGGGAAGGAGAGGAGCTGGGCATCTCTGCCCGGCCCTGGAACGGGCTTACTCTTTCCCATGTTCCATGTTCTGTATTAGCACTTGTACCTTCGATAAAATTGCCTCAGGTCTGAAGCCTTCCAGAGGCTGACATACTGAATTTGCTTTCTGTCAGTTTTCCCCTGAGAAAGTTGGAAGTGTTGCTGCCTCTTTCACATGACCTACGCAGGACATTCTATCTGCACTTTCTAATGCTTGTCACCTCCTGATGATGTTAGCACTTTATAAACTTGATTACACGCCAGTCTAATTCATTCAGGTCTATCAGAGTCTCTCCTACCTCATCAGGATCTTGTCACAGGCTGGGGCTCAGCTGTACCACTTCTGAACTCAGCGCTAAAGCAATCTCTTTCCTAACCCGCCTGTGGACCACTCTGTCTGGTCTAGTGAACTGGCCATCAGATACCACCTTTTGTATGCCCGATTCTCTGTTCTTCCTCTAATATCAGCACCGTATATTCATGGCGACTTTAGCCAGCAGTGACCGAGCGTCCCTGACAGCTTTTTTGAGGCTGTCCATAAGGCATTCATTTCTCATATTGCTTCAGATTACTCCGTCTTGGGTTTAACAACGGCTGGGAATATTCTTCTGTTGAATTAGCTATGGGATCCACTTTTGTTATTTAAAAATTTGTTCTATTTTCCATATTGTTATATTTAGAAAATATAACTTTAATAGCTGTACTTGTTACCTTTTAAAGAGTTCTCTGTGATTTATTGACCTAATTTCATAATGTTAAAAACTAGGTCTATTTAAAACATTCTGCTATTAAGAAGTTACAAGGATTATGTTGCAATAATTATATAAAATGTAGTTTGGAGGTATATAATTTCTATTAAGAAAGTGAAATTTTGGGGCTGGAGACTCAGCAGTTAAGAGCAGTAATTGCTATTCCAGAGAACCTGGGTTCGATTCCCAGCACCCACATAGCAGCTTGCAACTGTTTGCAATGCCAGGGAATCTTACACATTCACACAGACATGTATACAGGCAAAACACCAATGCAAGGGGCTGGAGAGATGGCTCAGAGGTTGAGAGCATTGACGATTCTTCCAAGATCCTGAGTTCAATTCTCAGCAACCACATGGTGGCTCATCCATAATGCGATTTAATACCCTTTTCTGGCATGCAGGCAAATATGCAGACAAAACACTATATATGTAATAAGTAAATAAATATTTAAGAAAACAATGCACATAAAATAAATATTTTTTTAAAAAAGAGTGCTATTTCTGGGTCTAACTCTTGTGTTTGTGGTACTCAGATCATAAAACTCTTTAAAAGCTCTTCAAGAAATTATTTGTTTACTGTAGTCTGTGTCAAACAAATCAACAAGGTTTGTGTATATTTAATTTTACATAAATTGGATAATTCTATCACATTTTTCTGTATCATGTTTTTCTTAATTATTTTGGAGGTTTACAGTATCAGTGTATGATGGTCAGTGTCATTTTCTTTGGATCTGTGTCACATTCTATAAATATATCTAATATGTTTGCCTCCAGTGTTGATATGTCAAGTCTTTTTCATTGCCCAAATATTGAAATACAAAAATACTGACTTAAGTAATAATAGATAATGTATTAAAATGTTAATAGATTTGTGTGTGATTATATATGCCATATATATGCATATGTATGTGTATCAAGGGGTTAAGAGAATTTTCTTTTTAAAGTCATATTGGGGCTAGGGATGGAGGTTAATGTTAGACTTGCCTAGAATACATAAGGTTTTGGGTTAGATCCCCAGGACTTGGGGAAAAAAATTGTAATGTTAATCTTACCTTTGAGTTTTTGTTGTTTATTTTGAGCTGCCATAAAAAAAAATACAACAGAATTCAGAGTGTAGAAAGGTCTAAGATAAAAGGCAGCAGGTTTGTGGGTAGGTAAAAGCTCCCCTCCTGACAAGAACATGATCCCACTTACATTACCATGTCTTTAAGGGGCATTCCCCTGGCAGGCTTGATGGGAGAGTAAGCTAATTAGTGCCACCATGCTTCTTCTTAAAGAATCGTTAATTCAAGCCAGAGAGATGGCCCAGCAGTTAAGACAGGAGACTAGGAGGCTGACGACCCGAGTTTGATTCCTAAACCTCTCACGGTGGACAGAGAGAATTGATTCCTGAACGCTGTCCTCTTACACACATGCATACTCACAAATAGATAGATGTAAATGATCCCTCACCACACACACACACACACACACGAATTTTGTTCAATTAGGGCTCCAACTTAACAACTCATCAACCTCACCACATCCTAAAGGTCCTTTTTCTGAATATATGCACCATGGGGTTGAGGCAATTTGGAGGAGAAAGCATTATTCAGTCATAGCTACATTAGCTCATTCTTTTTTTTATACAAAAATAAAACCTATTTTTAATGGTGTCCAAGAGAAGTTTTAAAGCTTTCTTTTTGTTAGGTTTTCAACATCAGTCAAACTACATATGACAAGAAACCCTACTACACAAGTGAAAATTCAAATCAAACTCTACATTAACATGAAATGTATTATTACAATCACTCAGATGTTATACATGACCCAGTCAAGGTAAAGTACCAGTGTTATGGGCTTTGTTATTTCTGGCTTTGGGTATTTTGTTTTTAGACAGGGCCTCATAACTCAACTGACATTGGATTCTCTATGTAGCTAAGGATGACCTTAAACTCCTAATCTACCTGCCTCTGCCTCTCCAGTGCTGAGATTATAGGCACAGGATAGTATATGTTTCGTTTAATGTCACGATAGTACAGGTTTTTAGTAGTGTATCTGGGTGGGTTAAAAGTAAAGAAATGTATTTTTATCTCCTTGTCTAGCATTGCTCTTTTTCTTAGCTTGATTCACAAGTAGTTCTAAAGATTTTGAGAACACAATAAAGTAAGCTAATACTCAACAAGAATGTTTAAGTTGAGAGCATTTATTTGGAGACACTAACAAGAGGCCAAGTGGTTAACAAATAAACATCAAAAACAATTTGTGAATGAGAAAAATCTACTGTTCAGAAAGTTAAATACTTCCATAAAGAAAAACATTTCTTCCTGCCGATTCTTCTAAGCTGGGTATGGTGGTTCATGTCTACATTCTTAGCATTTAACTATCAGAAACAGCCACAGATATACCATGTAATAATTCGGATTCTCTAAAGAAACAGAAGCAATAGAAGAAATATATATATATTAAAGGGGAATTTATTAGATCAGCTTACACAATGTGGTCTGAGTTGTCCAACAATGTCTATCTTCATATCGGAAAGACTAAGAAATTGGTAGTTGATTAGTTCACTTAGGCTTGGTGCTTCCTCAGTTCCAATTTGGTGCCAATGGGGTTTTGGAAATCCACTGTTCATGTCTATGTTGAAGTACTGAAGAACCTAGGTCCAGATGTCAGTGAAGAACAGCAGCAGCAGCTGAGTATGTGAACTTACTAGCAAGACACAAAGGAAAGCAAGCAAACACCAAATGCTTTTCCTAAGGTTTTTCTTATACCTGGACCACTCACGTTTAGGTTTGGTCTTCCTGTGTCCATGAATCTAATCATGAAAATCATTCCCAAGCATTCCCAGTGATTAACCCCATCTAAATAATCTCTCCGTATGTGACTGCTGGCTTCTCTCAGGTGTTTCCAAATCTTGTCAAGTCGACATTCAACATTTATTACATGTTGTTAAGCTCCAGGCCAGCCTGGGCTACAGTACAGTGAAACAAACCTCAAACAACAACCTAAAACCTCAAACAAAAAGTTCTTTTAATTATAAAACAAAACCACAAATTTTTCAGAGAAACGTATTTGAGAGGGAAGCTGATAGAAATTCATGAAGCCAGAAAGAGAGAGAAATCCTCCAAGCCAAGAGTTATAGTCATAATAGTTAACTACATACAAAATTGGTAGTTTAATTGCTTTTTGGTTTTTGTTTTTGACATAACATCCTATGATGTAGCCCAGGTTGGCCTTCAACTTACTGTGAATTCACGGTAGACCTTGACCTCCTTAATTTTCTGCCTTAACCTCCCAAGCCCTGGAATTACAAATGTATGTCACCATACTGGACTAGCCTCTCAGGTTCTTGAAATGGAGTCCTTTTCTCTGAATTGTGGCTGCCTTTTAAGATGTGGCTATCTGATCAGCAACTGCAACTTCTCTGATCAGCAACTGCAACTTCGCTCCTACCAGCAGACGTTATACCATAAGGAATTCTGTTCCCTCAGGTACTGACACTTTCAAAGCTACAAAGAGAACTTATCTCATTCTCTCTTCTAAAAAACTAAAGATCCAAAGGTGAGGTGGAATCCTGCTCCTCAGAAGGACTGACTAGCAAGCAGATCAACTTGCCTCTCCAGAAACCCTCCTGCTTCTCCTCATCCCTCCTTGAAAAACTCTTCCCCACCTGGGTCCTCCCTACCACTTCCTGTCAATTAGCTGGTGACCTTCTGACCGCAGGTGAATTTTATTTAATCAAGCACATCTTTGCATTATTAAACAGATGTTCCAGAGTGTAACCAAAAGTAACACACCTTAAAAAAATATTCTACAACATTGAAACACCACTGTCAATTAAGACACCATGGTGTTATTGTGTTGAAGTTTTGTTACTCATAAGAAGGCGAATTATTTTATTACCTTAGCTCCTTAGCTATGACTGTTCATCTTCTTGGAGTGACAAATATCTGACAGAAGCAACCTAAGGGAAAAATGGTTTATTCCGGCTCAAAGTTGGGGAGGAAGTTTCCCCAGCCTCATATAGCGAGTATAGTGATCTCCAGGATGAGAAGAAATGATTTGGTTTCAGTATTGGCCTATGAAATAGCCTATGAATAGAAAGGTGAATATTGAGAAAGCAGTTTGACAGTGTCTCCTTTATTAGCAAGGTAATAGTGTTAGGGCCTATGATCCCTCCCCCATCAACAGGATCTTAGTCCAGTTTTTACGGTATCAGGCACGCATTCCTTCTTGGGGTGTGAGCCTAGCAACCAATCAGGAAGCTTCGTTCATCCCATACCAACCAGGCCTCTGCTAAGCCAGTGGGCTTACCTTGCCAAGCCAGTCACAGTAGCTTGCAGGATTAACACTGCTGCTGTTATTTCTCCCCCAGCAAAGCACCTTCTGCCACGGTGAGAGCTCATCACAGCCACCTCTTGAAGAAAACAGTATAGAACTCGGCATCAAAAGTCCTCACAGTTTTTCACACAGTCCCAGCACTGTTTAAAAGTCTATTCTCTTCTGAAATGCAAGATAATCTCTTAACTCTGATCCCTCCCCCCCAAAAAACTACACATTTTCAACACACAACCGAACAGAACATACTTATTGTTCCTAGAGGGAAGAATGGGCACACCAATGAATCTGGACCCTAACAAGACCAAATCCTGCGCGTTCTTGTCTGGCATCTGGTGCTCATAAGACAATCATTTCAGTTTCAAAAGGCTTAGGTGGCCCTGCCTTTCCAACCCTGCTTCTGGTGGACACAAAGCTCCTCTCCTTGGGTTGCTTCCACTACATGTTTAGAGCTCTCTTTAGTATCTAGACCGTGACACTCTGGTATCTCGAACGTCTGTCGTCTCCACTGAAGATTTAGAGTTCACTCCCAGTGTCACACGGCGGCCTCTCGTGGCCTCGTTGCAGGGACACCGACAGTGCCACAGACTACTTGGCTTGGATAACTGTGACATAAGACTCCAACAACCCCTTCAATACTGTATCTTTTATTCCTGCAGAACCTGTACCACACACACACACACACACACACACACACACACACACACACACAATCAACAAGTTCTCTGCTACCTGACAGAGGAGTCTGGTACCCTGGGTCATAGTTCCATCAGCTTCTGTGTGCTGATCCTCGGAAAACAGTTCTCTAGGAAATTGCTTTCCAGAACCAGGAAACCTCAGCTGCATTCTGAGTGTAGGGTCCTTTCCTTTCAGATAAATCTGCACATTTTAAATATCTTTTTGCTGCCCCTCTTCTGGATCTATAGTGGTAAGCAATAACCATTCCACAGTTTGAAAGATGTCCTGCCTTGAGATTGCCTTTGCCATGCAGATCAGTCGCTTCCTCCTGAACATCAGCCCTGCTGCGGCTCTCCTGACACTGCAGAGGGATGGTCTATGTCACTTTCTGATTGAGTCTTGTTCCTGCTTGAAGCCTCATGTACCAGCCTTACATGCTCTACACACATTCTTTGCAGCCTTCATGTATAAACAGAGGTGGTACTTTCTCTTCCCAGCCACCCAGTCCTGAAATAATCACACAGAAGCTTAATATGAATTATAAACTGTTGGACCTGTTATCTCAAGCCTATTACTAACCAGCTGTTACAACTTAAATTAACCCATTTTCCTATCTATACTTTGTAACATGCCTCATGGCTTGTTACCTTACTTTTTACACGTCTTGCTTGCTTGGCGGCTGGCTTGAGTCTCCTCAGACTCCATCCTTCTCCTTCCCATCATCCTTTGTTTGGTTTCCCCACCTATGCTTCCTGCCTGGCTACTGACCAATGAGTGTTTTATTAAACAAACTCGATGACAAATCTTTACAGTGTACAAGAGGATTATTCCACAGCATTCAGGCCTTTCAAATTCCAATGATGACATCCCATTAAACTTAGCTGACAACATTTTTCTTTTTAGCAACAAGTTCAAAACTCTTTTACACTTTTTTCTAAAACTGGTTGCAAAATCTGAAGCCTACATGTTTAGGTCTATCCCAACAGTAATACCACTCTTAGTAACACTCTCTGTACTCGGCTACTTTTCTCATGAGTCTGACAAAAATGTCTGACAAGAAGCAGCTTAAGAGATGAAGGGGTTACTTAGACTGACAGTTCAAAGGGATTCAGTCTATCTGAACAGCGAAACCATGCCAGCAGGGGCAGCAGGCTTCTAGTCATAAGGCATGGAAGTCAAAGGGTGTGAACTTTGGGAGTCTGATGCCAGGCAGTTTATTGGCAGCATATTTAAACACAGTGAAATTTGGAGAAAAAAAAATTCCTTACGTAATAGAATCCCTGGTGCTCAAGAAGACATAATTAAATTGAAACTCCACTCAGGGTATATTTTATGTCTTCCAAGAAGACGGGTTCTAAAGATAGAATGCCTGTATTAGCTTAAGGTTCTAGGGAAGGATCTGGTGTGGACTCAGTGATAAGATAGCACAGAGGTCATTTGGGCGATTAATCCTGGTTGTGGGAGCTTGAGAACATCACTGGCTATCCAGATAATATAAGGGTCATCTGACTACTAGCCATCTCTGGTCCTGGTTGTGGGAGCTTGGTATGGCCTGGCCCTACAGATAAAGTAGATTACCAGGCAATTAATCATCCCCAATTCCCAGCCTTCTGGACGGAAAAACCAGTTATACATCTTTTTCTTTGAAAGGACAACCCTGCATACCTAACATTCCTGGTTTCCTTGGTGATCTGTGGGCTCAAGGACCTTCCAGCCCCCAACAGGAGGACGAACAGGAAGTAGGACAAGTTCTTAAAACATCCAGTTCTATCCCCAGTGACCCACTTCCGCCAACACGGCACCACCCTGTAAATGTGCAACAGCATTCTCCAAAAGCACCACCAACTGGGGACCGTGTTGGAACACATGAGCTTACAGAGGGTATTTCACGTTCAACAGGGAATCGTATAAATACGGACTTAAAGAGACAGTATCAAATGAAAACAGTCCTTTTTGAGCCCAATCCTCTTTGGGCAGTAGGCAGGCTGCAAAGGTCACTCAGTTGTCCACAGGGCATATCTTCAAGAAAAGAATGGAGTCAGTGGGAGGCCAAGAGAGATGGCGAGCAGTAGACAGAAGACGGAACAGCAGAGGAAGCAGAATTGTGTGCTAATGAATCCTGTTCTGATCTGCACAAGTAACCAATAACACGCTCCCCAGTACATTTCAGAATTGCTCTACCCCCAGGGACTGAGCATGCGGAATCATACCAAAGAGCTTTGTGCGAGCCTGGACTCGGCACAGTGACAAGATACACGAAGCTGATTTGGGTTGTTTTCTTGGTTTATTTTCTGTTGTTATAACAGAATACCCAAGAATGAAACATTGGCGACAAATAAACAAAAATAAATAACCAAAACAAAAGTTTATTTAGGCTCATGTTTCTGAGGCTGCAAAGTCCAAAGTTGAAGTTTGGTAAGGATAGCCTTTCCTGTGGGAACTTACAGAGGCCTAAGCTGAACTGGCTTCTATACTAGATCCAATCTGGGATGGCACTAACCTTTAATGCATAAGTGGATTCCTGCAGAGGCTCATAAATATTGAAGTCCTTATACCTCTATACCTCACAATGGGGACTGATTAAATCTCCACATTAATTTCTGTAACAACTTGCAAAACACAGTAGGGGTACAACACATTTTATAAGTTGGAATCTAGTAGCCTTTTCCTGAAGAGGATGCAGACCTTTGGAAAAGAGAACAAACTGCACAGTGGCTTCACACCATCATGTTGTCTCATATTCCACGCCCCCTTGCCATGTGGTTGCTGGTCCTCCCACTAAGAAACAGTGTCAGCTCCTCCACTGGCCTTGTAGCTTCGAAGGTGAGAAGAGAACGCTAGCCAAAGGCAAGCTGAGAAAGCAACTGATGGTGGAGGCATGTTACAGAAGCAACATTGTCTTGACTTTCGGTGCTCTTTGGCTTCCTCCTGGAGTACCAGCAGACACATGAGAAAGTCTGGGGAGAGAAAGTCTGGGGCGAAAGTTATGTTGAGATTCCCAGCAGCCTCAGAGAGTCCAACTGAAACCAGCCACCAGCAGGTAAGAACCACTTACAGGCTCTGCTCAGCTGTCTAGGTTCAGGCAAGTCTGACCAAATAACCACCAATGAGACTACAGAAAGTCATGAAAACAAGTCCTGTTGTCTAAGCCACCAGCTTTTGATACAGTTATTATGCAACAAATAATCAGGGTAGTAGCCTCATGCCATTACATTTCACATATGGACAAAACCTTTTATTCTGACAGATAGATTAACTTTTTTTCGTGTGTGTGTGTGTGTGTGTGTGTGTGTGTGTGTGTGTTTCATCTTCACGTGGCTTTATTTTAAACTCTAGATTAACTTTTCTTATGAACAAAGATAACACATGTCATAAAAATTAAATGCCATGAATTGGTGAGTCATTTACTCTTTGTTGAGTAACATAAAGCACAGTGTTATTTTGAAACCAGAATGAAGTAATACACATCTAAGAAATCTTTTGTTGTCTGATTTGGCATTACCGTAAATACAACCTCTATGTATCCACTAACTTTTACAGTGTAAGAGTAACTGCCGTTAGCTTCAAATGAGTTTAATGGGGAAACTGTGTGACAAAGTAAAGAAAAATAACCATTTGGATTGATTTATGATGATGTAAAAGGGGAAACATTCTTCAAACATCACTCTTCTAGGACAACTATAGTTGTAGATGCATATGGTAACAATAGAAAATATGTAATCAAGTGGCAACACTGTCATCTTCATTAAAAAGCCATGAAGGACTTGCAAAGATAGCTTAGCATTTTAAAAGCCCATACTACTCTTGCAAAGGACCCAAGCTCCATTCCCTGACTGGCATATTGATAACCCCCACTCTAGGACATCCAATGCTTCTGGACTCTCCTGACACTTGCCTGTATGCACATACGCCCATGTAGATACAGAATTTTTTAAGTCATGAAATGAGCTGGGCACAGTGGTACACACATGTAGTTTCAGATACTTCAAAAGTTGAGTCAGGATATAGAAGGATTACTGGATCCTAAGACCTCTCAACCATTTTTGCACAGGGGATGCCCCAACCTTTACCCTGAGACAGGATCTCATCACATAGTTCAGGTTGATCTGCAACTTGTTATGTACTTGAAGCTGGCCTTGAACCTCCTAAGTGCTCCAACAGCCCTGTACAACTGCACCCAGTTTATGTGGTACTGTGGATTAAACCCAGGGCCTTGTACATGGTGAACGAGCACTCTACCAACTAAGCTACGTCCCCAGCTCTCTCTGTTCTTGACTTTTTCACATTGAAGAATTCTATTAAGATTCTGGGATTATACAGTATTTGTTTATTCAATCATTTTTATATTTATTTGGCAAGA